ATGCTTGTCATAACTTTGAATACAATTCTATCTATTTCAAGTTCAATTTATTTGAGATTTAATTTATTTTCGAAAATTCAATTTATTCTTTTATGGATTAACATAATTTTGAAATAAGTTAAAGATTTCTGAATATCACTTTATGTTAATATTTTTAAAGGCATGGAATACAAAGATTCAAAAAGAATGGGGTATATTGGAGCAGTAGAAGAGACAGTTTGTTGTAGCAATCATTGCAAGTAAATGCACCAACAAAAATCTTTAAGCCCAGGAATGATGTTTATTTCTTCCAGTAAGGTTGTTACAATGGATGCCACCGACAATAAGGTTGAGTCCATTAAAACTACTCATCAATTGCTCCAATTGATCATCATTCAGTTCTTGCACATCTGCTTTCAAAAGTATGCCAAGATAATAAAAGGCAACTTCTGCATCATTGATCCTAGAGAAAAGAGACAGGACATTGATACTACCATGGAACATGTTTCTATACAGATCATTGTGTATGGTTTTTAGGGAAACTTAGAAGCATTTCCACCTCATCAGATCCAAGTGGAGCAACTTTATTCCTTCCAACCCATACTAGATTCCATTTTCAGCACTCAACAAGAACATACTTGTGGACACTCGAAGGTGGCTCATTGTCATAAGCTTCAAGAGCCTTACAGATCCTTTCTGTCAATTTGACACTTCCTGTACATGTTTATAAACAGTTCAACTTTGTTCTTGGATCCCAGGAAGGCCATCATTTCTTTGTCAATGGAAAAGCATCAGTACATGGAGGAAGCAAAATAAGAGAAAATCTGTTCTTAATTGGCAGAATTATGAATATAGCCCTTTTCAGTGTATTAGCATAAAAATGCTTCAAATCTACAAATTCTGGCTCTACATCGAATAAATACTATGATATTCCAGCCCAAACATTAACTGGAACAAATGCCATGTACTCATAGTAGAAATAAGAAGACCCAATAGCATTTTCTAGAAGTGTTCTTTGAGTTATCTGATTGGTTTAGTAAAATCAATCATTGAATTTGGAAGAGGACTGTGCTCATAGCATCTTCTGGAAGTGTTCTTTGAGTTATCTGATCTGGTTTGGTATGAACCTCGAAAAACCAATCATTAGACTTGGAAGAGGAATGTGCTCATAGTATCTTCTGGAAGTGTTCTTTGAGTTATCTGATCTGGTTCAGTAGGAACTACAGAACCAATCATTGGAATTAAAAGATGAATTGCATGATCGTCTTCATTAAGAAGCTTCTTTTCAAGCTTCTTCTGTTTATTCCTTTCCCAAAAAAATCATAGCCCAAGTTTCGCCTTTTCTTGTAATTGGGATCATTGCATAATGACTTCCTACCTTTTACCAGAAGAAGTGCATCAGCAACCTTAGTCATTTGAGCAGCACATATGAAATCTGTCAATTTTGTAATTGATGAATCTGAACCACATCTCTTCATGGCTATTGAAGCTTCAGCCTCTGAGAATCCCATTTTTGTCAAGAATAACAGTTTATTCTCTTCATCAGAATCAGAATTCAAGATTTCTTGGTATTAAAAGAACTATCGATATTGTGAAATCATTTTGAAATGTCACTTCATAATCAGATGAGTTGTTATCAGAATTAACATGTTGCATGAATGCAAGCTTTTCAAGAGCCTATACTATTGAGTTTTATTCTCAAGAGGTTCTGTGACATTATATCTACATTTGTCAAAGATGATAGATTCTCTGATTTGAAGAAAAAAGATCTATTGGGTTTTTACAATTGAAGAAATACTCAATTCACTAATCTGAAATCAAATAACTTAACATTCATGCATCATATTTAGGTGTTTGCAAAAATAGGTGCATTTTCATTCATTCTCATCCATATTGAATTTTGACAGGAATTTCAAAGATTTTTAACAAAGATTCAAATCCATCATTTGATGGATTAGCATTTTCCAATTCGAGTTCATAATGAGAAGAACTCATCATTTGAAGAATGAAGAAGAAATTCATAATGAGAAGAATTCGTTTAACCTTTTTGCTCAAATCCATCACTTGATGGATCAGCTTTTCCAGTTCGAGTTCATAATGAGAAGAATTCATCTGAAGAAGGAAGAAGAAATTCATAATGAGAAGAATTTGTTTAACCTTTTGCTCAAATTCATCACTTGATGGATCAGCTTTTCCAGTTCGAGTTCATAATGAGAAGAATTCATCTGAATAAGGAAGAAGAAGTTCATAATGAGAAGAACTTGTTTAACCTTTTATTCAAATTCATCACTTGATGGATCAACATTTCCAGAGAAAGTTCATAATAAGAAGAACTTATCTGAAGAGGAAGAAGAAGTTCACAATGAGAAGAGCCTGTTCAATCTTTTACATAATTTTATCACATATATGTTAGCATCAACCTTTCCAGAGAAAGTTCATAATGAGAAGAACTCATCTGAAAAAGAAAGAAGAAGTTCATAATGAGAAGAGCTTATTTAACCTTTGGAATGACTCTATCACAAAAGGAAATAGGTCAACATCATCCCCAGCGGAAAGTTCATAATGAGAAGAACTTATCTGAAGAAAGAGAAGAATTTATTCAACATTGCTATTATAATCAAGTGAAGCCAAATGGATAAAAAAATTTATTATCTTTTCGTCTTTGCTCTATCTTGTTAACACAAGAATGAGCAAAAGGGGCAGCTGAAGATACTAATTTTTTTTACTCATTATTATATTATTATTATTATATATAATTATAATTATTATTATTAAAATAATAATTACAAAACAGGCCCAGATTGGACCGGCCCAATTACAAAAGACCCAACTGGCCCAAATCACAAACCCTAACAGATTAGGGTTTTCCTATTCCCCCAGCCGCCATCTTCAATTTCAGCCGTTGGATCTGGTTTGATCCAACGGTCCACAGTTTGCCAGAGGAAACCCTAGGGTATCAATACCCTAGGACACGTCCCAGCGCCCGTAGATTCCAGAAGACCACGCGGCGTTGCTTCAGCCTCGCCGCCACTCCAGCCGCACACATGTCGTCCCAACGGTGAGTCACCATTGGGAGTCCGGTGACTCACCAGACTCCATTCTTTACCCGGTCCGATGGCCACACCGGACAGAAAAAAGGAAAAAAGAACAGAGCCAGAGAGACAAAAACCGAAAGCAAAGATACCAAAAAAGAGACCAACTCACAATAACCAGCAACCAAAAACAAAAGAAAAGGGAGGAGAAAAGCTTACCGAGGAAGCTACGACCACCGGACCTCTTCAAACGTCACCAAAACCTTCGAAAACCAAAGGTATTTTTCTTAGATTTGCTCCGATCGGGAGCCGTTTAGAAGAAAAAACCATCGGAACCGTCATTAGGACGGTCCGATCTATATTTTAGTATAAAATTTTTTTTTTCGGCCACCGAAGGCGGTGGCCGGCGGTGGAAGAACACCGGCGGACGGCTGCCGGCCGGCTAGCTTCTCTCTGCTTTAGAGAGAAGCGAGAGAAAATTCTCTCTCTCAGAGAAGAGAGAGAGAGGAAAAAAAAACGATAAATGAAGCTGGCCCTTCGGGCCAGCCGGGTTTGGCTTTAAATAGCCCTTCCCGAACGACGTCGTTTCGGGGAGGGTTATTTGCGTAATTTTTTAATTGTTAAATCCCGTCCGCCATCCCTCAAATTTGTAAACTTTACATTTTAGTCACTAAATCAATTTATAATCCTTTTAATTCGGTTCTTTAATTTTTCTTTTATTATTTTAGTCCTTTATATTAAAATATATTTAGGGTAAATAACATATTTAATCCCTTAATTTTAATAATTAATATTTTAATCCCGAGTTTATTTTTTTAATTTATTTTAATCTGATATTCGAATTTTAGATAAGTTTTATTTTAGTCACTGAATTAATAAATAAGAAAATAGCATGTTTATCCCTATAATTTTGATTAATTATGAATTGGATATTTAATTTTAATTTTACTATAATCTAGTCACCAATTTTAAATATTTCATATAGTTCTAATTATATTTTTATTGTTTTAATTTTATTTGTTTATATATTTAAATTTTTATTATTATTATGTAGTCATAAATATATATAATAAATTATTTTAATATTTTTTTTAATATCGAAAAAAGGACAGTCTTAATACAACTGGATGTCCTATTCTGGTATTTAAAATTAAATATTATAAAAAATTATTATTTAATTTTATTCAAATTAATATTTATTAATATTAAAGAAAAGAGCTGTCTTAAGGCACCTAGAAGTCATTTTTCGATATTTTTAAATATTTTTTATATAATTTTGAAATAATAGGATTATAAATTAAATATATTTTAAATTTTTAATAATAGAGACAATTTATAATTAAAAAGTACCAATTTTGGGCGTTGTAGGGGTGCTAATCCTTCCCTAAACGTAACCGACCACGAATCCTTTTTTATTATTAAAAAGAACGATTTTTTGGTTATAAACGCAGATCAGTTCATTTTTTAATTGATGTTTTCTTAAAACTCTTTTAAAAAAATAATTTTTAGGTATTCGACCTACCTGACCCAAAAGGCCGATGGCGACTCCCAAATTATTTTCAAAAATCATTTATTCACATCAATTTTTCGTACTCGGACGAAAACCGGTTACGACACATTTTTTGAGTTGTTTTCTTCAGTATAGCATCAGAAAAACCAGCTGCCAGGCCTGCAAAGTTGAAGTGGATATGTGAATCACCACTTCTTTTCCCATTCGAGTTGATCTAAAGGCCGGAGTTTTCAATCTCGATGATGATTATTTCAACGAAATGAACCTAAACTTGTGTACAATAGCAAGTGAGGTAAAGAAATTTAACCATGGAGAGAAACACTGATCAGTATATTAAGAGAGTATTAAAACATGAGCATGAAAATAGATAAAAACATTTCATTAAAGCTCACAATCAAACAACTTGATGTCATTAACTTTGATCCTAATCTAAAGTATTCCTACCAATACACATTCTAATGTCAGCTAAAGAAACATAGTTAAAAACACCTGGAATTTAAAGGGTCAGCTGATCCTGAATCAAAAATTACTCCTTCAATCATCTCTTTCAACCCTTCTCTTCTCTGAAAACGCTCAATCACTGAACCATATCTGCACAGAATAGCCAAATAATGCCAGATTTTACTTTCCCATACACAAAATTTCAAAACCAAAGCCATTTTCAGTCATAAGAAATTACTTACACAAGCCAGCCAGTGTTGCTAAAAGTATGGAAAATAAAGCACCTTTCACGACCATCTTCTTCTTTCTCCGAACCCCAAGTGACCAACCCATTTGCCAATTCAGCTATACGTCGGTCAAGCATTGAAACCGGATCCAAGCACAGCAAATCCTTGAGTTCAACAAGAAAAGTAACAGCCAGTGTAGCCCCAAGCCACCCCAAAAGAACCACGGTGGTCACTTTGTCTGTATTTCCCAAAGCCTCGGCTTCTCCACCGCCGTTGATCATTATCTCCAGAGCTTTGTTCCAACCCAAATACGTGCCGTTGGCGATGGACTCGATGAACGCGTTGAAAGAAGAAGAAACGGAGAGAAACGAAGCAGTAAAGGGATTCACCCAAGGTCTGGGAAAGGGGTCGTCTTACTCGAGTTGGAGATTGTTGGCTATTTTCCCGATAAATTACCGGTCATCGGTATATATACTGATCTAACACAGTCAGATTATATTTCTCGATCTAACACCTGTAGCAGTAAAACGCACCCCCTATACCGCGCTATATGCTGATTTGGCGTTACGTTAAATATAGTGCGCCTCCTGTACCGCGCTATACGCTGACTGGGTTATACGTGAGGTATAGCGCACCCCTGTTCCGCGCTATACGCCACGTAGGGGTATAGCGCGGATCAGGGGCGCGTTATACGCCGTACCAAAATTATATTTAACGCAGTCTTTGATCTGCGCTATATAATAATTACATATAACGCGGTACATGTACCGCGCCTTATATGTTTATAAATACCAGTTCTCGCATCTCTCCTCGCATCTCCTCCCATCTCTCATCTCTTATAAATTAATACAACAATTCCGTAAACGAGTAATAATTCTGACAATCTTCTTATATTTAATTAGAAGTTCGTGCGATTTTTCGTTTATAAGGTAATTTTGTTATACTTTTTTAATTATACTTATTGTTTATTATTATTATTTGAAAAAATATTATACTAATTATTTTATTAATTTTTATGTTTGTAAAATTGAAAAGCAGGAGCATACGTCGAAATAGTTTTGCGGTGCAGGTAATAATATAAAATTATATTATTTAAATTATTTACGTTGATGTGTAAAAAAAATTTGTGTTATATTTTCGTTCATATACAATTTATTTAATTAGGTTTGTTTAAGTTATTTTTTTGCAGATATAATATTGCCGCACTTTTAAACTCAAAGAATGTCACGACTTTCAGCTATTGTTTATTATGATGGTGAAATTCGAGAAGATGAAACCGACGTTGTTTTCGTATCAAATGAGCGTGTTAAAATATCATTCAAGAGAAACATAACTTTTGAGGAGCTGATAACGAAGATTTCGAGGAAGATTCATGTTGGAAGTAACAGAAGAATGTCGTCGTTGCAGTACAATTTCCAACATCATTGTTGCCATTAACTTATACAACGTTCGAACTTTCGAACAATGATGATGTTCAAATGATGGTTGAAGCTCAAAGTAATTATTCAAACGTCGCTATTGAGATGTATGCACATTTTGTTCAAGTGCGTGTTGTTCGGGGTCAATCTTTAAGCTCACACTATGGGCTGGCTGAACAAGTTGATCAAGTTGACAGCCCGACTACAGTAATGTGTAATGATTTTAATGCCATAATAGGGAGACATTCAACTCCTTACGATATGTACCGAGGTGGGTCTACGAACAATCCGTATGGCAACACCGCGTCCAGTTCAAGGGGAAGGCATTCATCTGCAAATTTCTTTGACCATATGGAGATGCCATCGACGCAACCATCTGTACAGTTTCCATTTGACACGATGGCTTCAAGCTCCAGGGGGAGGCATTCGACTGCGAGCTTTTCCGATCTCAATGTCGATATGCCTTCCAGTTCAAGGGGAAGGCGTGCAAGTAGTAGGTTCTTCGACCTAAATATGGAGAGCATGGAGGAACCATTATCTCCACCAGAAGAACCGCTTCGTGAGCCTGGTGTGGATGGTGCTGAGACTAGACTATTCATTCACCCAGAATCACTACAATTCAACTCCGATGATGATGAAGTTCCAGGAAATGCGGCACAAACTGACCCTCCTGCAAACATGTATGAAGTTGATTATAGTGCAATTACGAGCCAAAATTTGCAGATATGCCTCATCTCGGTGACTATGGATATTACTCATCAATAAATAATGGTGCGTTATCTTTAGGCATGGAGTTTTCAAGAAAGAAGAAGCGATGATGGCTATAAAAAATTACAATATCCGTAATTCTGTTCAATCCAGAGTCAACCGATCGACGACCAAAAATATGTATGTTACTGTGCCCGACGCAAAACAGATGTAATTGAATGGTTCGCGTATCGAAAATAAAGAGGAAAAACAACATATGGGAACTAACAGTATATAACAATCCTCACACATGTTGTGCTGGAGGGGTCAACCAAGATCATCCCAACTTGGACTCTGAAGTGATATGCCAAGCCATCATGCCCATGGTAAAAGCAAGCTCTCATATAGCTGTTGCAGTGATGATTTCAGCTATACAATCGCAGTATGGGTACAACGTCTCCTATAAAAAATCTTGGTTGGCAAAACAAAATGCCATTGTCAAACTTCATGGTGAATGGGATGCATCTTACAACGAACTTCCTGGTTGGTTTAGGCTGGTGCAGACGTTGAATACTGGGACAATTGTGGACTTCGAAACCTCCTATGCATACCATAATGATTGAGTTCTTCGTGATCGATGCCAATTCTACCGGGCTTTTGGAGTTACTCACAGTGCATTAATGCTGCTAAATACTGCAAGCCTGTGGTCCACATCGACGGGACTTTCTTGTATGGAAAATACAAACAAGTTTTATTATTGGAAGTTGTCCAAGATGGCAATCGCAACATTCTTCCAGTTGCTTTTGCTCTTGTCGAAGGAGAAGATACAGATTCTTGGGCTTTTTTCCTCCGAAATTTACGTGCACATGTTATCACGAGGGAAAAAATCTATCATTTCAGATCGCGGAGCTGGGATCAAAGCAGCAATGGAGTCTTTGGGTCCAATGTGGCAACCACCCTTTGTCCAACATAGGTATTGTCTCCGACACATTGCTGCGAACTATCATGGAAGGTACAAGAAGAATGATGAGCGTCAATTAATTGTGCGCATGGGTAAGTGAAAGCAAGTTAGTAAGGTATACATTTTTTTATCATTTTAATTTTGCAAAGAAAGCAAGTTAGTAAGTTATACATTTTTTGATCAGGTTACGAACTACTTCCTCGAACGTTTGAATCAATACTTCAAGATTTGCGGGTGAAGAACGAGGAAGGATACGATTACATCAGCCTCATCGATAAAGAAATGTGAACGAACGCATATGATGGTGATATCGATATGGACACATGACGACCAACTTGGCTGAGGCAATCAATTCAACCTTAAAGAGTGCACGTCACTTACCTGTAGCGGCTTTGGTAAAAACTACTTATTTTTGTTTGGGGGCGTTTTTTGCGAAGCTCGGGGGATAAGCTCAAACCTAGATGCAAGGCGGTCATGTCTATCACCCTAGGTTAGTTGCAGATCTACAGAAAAAATTGCTGCATCAAATGGAATGTCTGTAACAAGCTTCTCTAGAAGGCATGAAATGTTTCGTGTCACATAGTTGCCGCGACCTCTTCAAGGGATTGAAGCTGTGTTGTTAAGAGTAAATCTAAGGGACATAATGTGCGACTGCAGGTTTTTTCAAGCTCTGAAGTATCCATGCTCTCATGTGATAGCAGCTTGCTCGCATACACGTCAAGACTATAATCATTTTGTGGATCCCGTATACCTACTATCTGAAGTTTTTAAGGTATACAAATTTGAGTTTCCCCCCATAGGTAATGACAAAGACCCTGATGAGGTTCAAGATTGGCTTCCGATTGTACCAAATCCGAGTTTATTGAGGGAGCTTGGTCGTCCAAAATCCAATCGAATTCATTGCGACATGGATATTCGAGAAAGATCTAGACAAGACAGAAGATGTGACCATTGTAGAAACCCAGGACACACTAGAAAAACATGTCCACTTCTGTTGTCATCAAGTAACAATTGATGAGGAAATGATGTCTTTGTTTATCAAATAATAATTCTTGTATTTTAATTTGCATTTACTTCAAGTTAATGTCATTCGATAATCGCTGATGAAGAATAAAAAATGAACACAATCATTAAATTTTATCAAACTAATAACAATTTGGTATTTAAATACAACAAACTTACAATAAGAATTAAATGGTAAATGATAACCAAATTACAACAACTGATATTAAATGGTAATAAACAAAATTAACTGAAATATATTAAAAAAATCCAACAAATTTAATAAAATAAAGTAAGTATTAAATGAGAAATAATAAAAAATTACAATTAAACAAATAAAGTAAATACAAATATAATAAAAATATCTATCGATGCCTGCGTCGCGAATGTGTTCCGCAGGGCGGTGGCCGTCGGTCTCGAGGAGGATTTCTTCGTCACCATCGTCATCATCGTCATCGTCGTCGTCGTCATCTTGAGCAGGTACATTAGGTTGATGAGGAGCTGATGACGATGAAGCATCTCCATAGAGTAAGGACCCTGGAGGTGTATGACTGACTATCCCACCGGCCTGCGAAAACTGGGAAAACCAAGACATCGCTGAGTGAGAAAACTGTACAGGAGGTGTCTGTGCTGCGGCCATGGGTGATGAGGCTGAACCCACCAAATATCTAGCATATAAACCCCAAGTCGGATATGCAAACATAGACCCATAATAGCCTCCAGGAGGGGTCATCTGTGACGGTGGTGGTGGCGGGGTTATAAAACCAGGTGAAGGCAGCGGCGGTGGCATCTGGTAATGGAAAGGCGATGGCGGCATCATATATGGCTGCGGCATCATATATGGCTGCGGTGGCTGCTGGGAAGGTCCTGCTGATGCAGTTGAGGATGAACCGGAAGCACCTGCTCTCCGTCCACGAGTCGGGGGACGATGGTGCTGTGTCAGTGAACGTCTCTGTCGATGTCGTGGAAAGGTCTGCCCTCGTGCATCCTCGGGAAGTAGAAACGGTTTCCTGTTACTGTTGAACCACTCATAATAACCCTCAGCATACATCAAGAAGTCAGTAAAAATGGGCTCTCTACGTGGAAGGCGCCGATGTCGATCCTCCCACAACACGACCCACTCATGATGCCTCACCAGCCAATCTGTATCTGTCTTGCCGCGTCTATCTAAGCTATGCAACTCGTCCATATTGCGAGGTGCTTCCGCAATTGGTTGAAAACAACCAAACTGCCGGAGCACGCGATCAGTGGGGTGCCACTCGACGATCGCATAACAGATCAGAGGGACCATCGCCATCCAAACATATGATGGACCCCTCAACTCAGGTGGGATCACCG